ACAATTTGAAATTTTTTTATCAGTACGGATGGTTAGAAAAGAAAAGCGTACATATTTATTTAATAATGTAGACGGTCAAGTATAATTTTTCAATCATGATACAGAATTTAAAAAAAAAAAAGAGAAATTTTCAACGGTCTTATAAAATATCTTTGCATACGTGGTGCACAAATTTTACTTGTGAGAATTTACAAGATTAAGCTACTTCGAAATCATGTGTACCAAAAAAGGGAGTCGTGGATGCAAAAGCTAATATTCTAATCGATTCATTTCTTAATTTTATTGACATAACTTCGATTAATTATAGTTGCATTATAATAACTATATAATAACATTATAATTGCATTATAATATCCATTATAACTGCATTATTTCGAATATTTCAATTTAACCCGCACATTCTACACGTTAAAAGTCGCGAATGTAGACGATCAAACACTTCCATGGCCAACAGCGTCGTCACATATCGGGACATATTATTTTTTCATATTTCAAATGAAAATTTTACGCGCAATTTAAGCGGATTGAACGCGACTGGATGACTGGCCATCAAAAATCGATTCGTCTCGAGGTCGATAAGCGATAAACTGGTAACAGTTACCAGATACTCATCGATGTATATAGTCCCATGGTACAAGCATGATTCATTATAGAAGTCGTACACAAAAGGTTCCTCGAACAGCATCGATATAATATAAAATCGTAATGAAGTTAACCATATAATCATTGAGATTAACTTAATGACTGCACGCCGAGTACTTCGGTAACCAAGGAGAGGCGAGACGTTGGGGCGATGAAATGAATTTACTTTTCCTGCAGTCAGCTACCAGGCTACAACTGCAAGAGATTGAGCTCGTAGATGAACGTGTTCGTTTAATGCTTCTTGTGATTCACGATGTACAACAGAATAATCGCCGTCGACTTTTTACTTTATGCTTTCCCCGTGTTCGGTTGCCAGCGTCGTTTAAGCTCCGCGCAGGCTTTTCAATCAACTGCGAATTTGCAAAACGAGTCCTGCCCGTCTTCCATCTCTCTCTGCTCGTTCCCGCTTTCTATTCCACGTCGACAGAGACCGAAACATCTTGTCCCTTTCCAGCCTCGAGGCCGTAATAACGAAGTTCGGTAATCAAACTCGTCCTGATAGGTTCCAAAGAAGACAAAAGAAGGGCGAAGGTGGGCCGTGATTTGCAAGGGCTACGTGGGCGTTCTCATAATTCGTTGTAAACCTCGAGTCTCGTGAGTAATCAGCATAGGAATTATGGGAAATTTGACTATGTCGATTAGACAGGGAATATCTTTGGTCTAGGTCGTTCGCAGATGTCGAGTTTCTAAAATTGATTTAGGTTTAGATCTTCGAGCGACTTTGTAAACAAGGTTGTGAACAAAAAAACACAAATTGCTACGTTCTTGTGAGCGATATATGCACTCTGTAATTTTTGTTAACAAGCTAAACTTTTACAAAAAATCGCGAGGGCTGTTGGAGAATGTAATGTTATTCAACGTTATAGGCCCATGATTTCTTAGCGTAAAATTTTATTAGATACGAGGGCAATGGATTCACTGTGTCCAATTCAACCAACAATATAAATAAATCATTCTTTGTTTCAATCTTGAGATGGAAGTATCAAGATTATTATCTGTAATGTTTCATATGATTGAAAGTAAATTTGGTCAGATTTTATTATTTAGAAAATTGTGTATCAGTTGCAAGGTAGGGTTAATTTTTNGCCCATGATTTCTTAGCGTAAAATTTTATTAGATACGAGGGCAATGGATTCACTGTGTCCAATTCAACCAACAATATAAATAAATCATTCTTTGTTTCAATCTTGAGATGGAAGTATCAAGATTATTATCTGTAATGTTTCATATGATTGAAAGTAAATTTGGTCAGATTTTATTATTTAGAAAATTGTGTATCAGTTGCAAGGTAGGGTTAATTTTT